AAACGGTTACTCAGCACAAGGCTTTAAAAGCAGACTATCTCTACTCTGCTTCTTACCGTGTAGGTAACTTCAGGCAAGTAAGTAATTTACTCTCTCTGCCCCATTTTCCCAAAGGGCTGTAGTGAGAATTAAATGCACCAACACATGTACAGTGCTCAGAACAGTGCCTAGCACTTAATAAGCACACCATAAATGTCATCTACTTAGTTACATAATTATTTTTATGGAAAAAGATCTCTCAGCTTAGACAACTCATTATAAATCCTGATAATATTCCATTTTCAATTTACCTTACCAATGAGTTCACATTTAGGAAAACTGGGCTTAATATCTAAGTAGCCTTGGTGTTTATGCTATATCTACCCTATTCACAAGCCCAATTTTCTCCAACCCTGAGTCACTATTAGTTCCTCTTCTGACTCATCACATAGAAAGGTAGACAGTCTGGTATATAATGGGCATACCAAAGGCATTTCTTAATCTACCTGGATTCACATGGTTTACTTAGTCAAACTTGTCCCATATAATGTTCAACAAATACACTGAATAATTATGACTTAAAATTGTGCTCACTTAAAAATGCTTTCTATATATTAAATGCTCCTTCAAACTATGGAGTAGGTGTTTTAACTCCATCTTGACAGAAAAACAACATATCACTTATGTAAAAACAAAGATTCATATTTTCTGATCTAGCCAAAAATAGATTATGCTGATGGCCTGGTGTTCAAAATTTTGCCAAGGAAACTATAGAGGGTCAGAAGCAATCTCTGAGCCTACAAATTTGACCTTAATTTCTAATCAGTTCCTTTTACTCTTTTCTCCATTCAGAGGTTTAAATTATTTAAGATAACCTCTAATAAAAAGTTATAGAAAAAAATAAAAAGTTATAGGAAAACAAGCTACATATTGCAAAATTGGCTGATTCTTAAAAATTAATTCTTTTAATATTTTATTAATTAAAAATTAATTCTTAAAAATCCCGCTCTCCCAAGATGCACGCACGCGCGCGCGCACACACACACACACACACACACACACACACTGAAAATACTGCTCTACCAGATATTCACTTTCCATGTGATCCTGAGTCATTTAAGCTCTTCAAGCCTCCATTTTCTCCTCTGGAAATGAGGATATAAAGAGAAACAGTAACTACCACATGGGATTGCTGTGAGCATTAATTAAAACATAAAGTACTGTAGCCAACCACTATGAAAATAGTAAGTTTCAATACGTGTTAACTTTGTATTTAAATCAAAATTTCAGTATCATTTGACCTTACCTATTGAAATATTTTATTAACCACCTCCGTTAACCCACTCATGCAAACCTATTCAACGGCAATAACTTCACAAGCACTCTGAAAACAGGGGTGGTACTGCCTAGGAACCCTTCCTCAACTATCCCCGTCTTCCTTAGGTTAGGTACCCTGCTCAGCCTGCATTAAACACTGTACTTACCACAGTTCCCTATATTACTTGAGAGGCCCTGTGGGCAAGGCCTGTGTCCTATTCATTTCTGTATCCCCAGACTGCAGCCCAATAGTTCTTAACCCTGACTCACAGTAGAATCACATGAGAAGCTTATCAAAATATTGATGCCTGGGATCCATCCCAGACCCATTAAATCAAAAGGGGCTCAGGGAGGGAGAGGGCAAGTATTCTGCATGAGGAGCATTTTTTTAAGATCCTCACATGATATTAATGCACTTCCACAATTAAGAACCACTACACTCAGATTTAAAACACCATAAGTATGTATACACGTATGTGTGAATGGATGTATAAATATATAGGTACAGAAATGTAAGTCTCAGCCCAAGAGCCTCATCACCAGTAGCTTCTCTCAGCCCCAATCACCTCTTCCCCCTCAACACAAAACTTTTTTTTTCCAGATTTTTAAGTGATCTCCATACCCCAATGTGGGGCTCTAACTCACAGCCCTGAGATCAAGAGTCACATGCTCCACTGACTAAGCCAGCCAGGCACCCCTACACATAAAATATTTCTAATAAACAATTTGCTGTGTTAAGATGGCTTTTCAATTGTTAACTCAGTACTTAAGTTTTTTCATATAATTATGCCTTATCCTTCTTCCAGGATTATAGCCCTGCTCCTTGAGAATATACACTGCCTTACTCTTCTTGTTTTTTTTCCACAGCCCTTACCATACTGCCTGAACACAGACATGTAATAAAGATCTGACTGATCTAATAAACGTATACCAAAATTACTGGCAAGAACAGCCAAATTATCCAATTTGAGCTATTCCCCCAAAAAAGTAGACAAAGTAAAAATTTAGGGAAAAAAACATTTTTTAATCTCTAACTTGGTAATCAAGAACAACTAAAGTTTGTCTCACTAATAAGCATCTGTATATTTGCACTTTTTATTACAGTCATCACAAGTACTATCCCACCCAGCTTCCCATCCCCATCCATCACATCTAGTTTGAGACCTGCATCCTTGCTAATATTATCTTGTTGCTGTTTGTGATATCTTTAATTGTTGTCAGGTAGCCTTTACAACAAATTTTATAATATTTTGTAATTAGTAAGATAAGTTAATGAAAGTCACAGTGAATGTGTCAAACAGATGTTTAATAAATACTTCCTGATGGAACTTCATGTTTATCAACCACAAAAATCGGCTTTTGCATGTGAATTATATGCTACTTTCCTAATAGAAACTTGGTTGAGAATACTGTCTGAAAATAAGAGAGTCTTTCTCAACATCACATATAATACAAGTCTATTTTTGAATGTTGACAGATTAATAATTGTCTGCTTTTCTGATATTTACACACCTGAAAACTTTATAAAATATGATATGACTTCTTAAACCAACAGTGCTACATTACACAAGAAACTCCATACCAACTGACATTCTCAGTGTTGAAACTACTAGGAGAAATGAATGGCACACAATTCTAAAAATACAACCTGAAGAATATAAAGATGGCCCATCTTTAAAGTTTTGTGTCATATATTTACCACTATTAAAATAATCTGAACGACTTAAGCTGTTTTTACGAAAATATGAGGAGGCACTCAACAAGTATGCCTGCTAATTAGGTACTGCGTTAAAACATTACCATGTTTTGTTGCGTCCTACAGCAACAGATAGAGCCATAGTTACCACAAAAAGAAAGCAGTCCTCAACTCTCTATTCAATAAAAAAGGTTCAAATTCCACAGAGAAAAAAAATGGTACCCTAGGTTGTTTGTTTTTAAGGAAGATTAAATTTAGGAGTTGCCAACACCCAAACGAAAAACATTCCAGAGTATTAGACTCAATTGTAGTGGGGAGTGATCTACATTCTCAGCACTATGTTCCCTAACCCAAAGCAGGAGCATTAACAATGGATGTTTCTTAGGATCTCGCATGATACACCACACTTATTTCCCCCGGTAAACATAATGCTTGTTAAAAACAAAAACAAAAAAGGTACTGGAGAAGTAACAATTCTAGTACAAGCAGCCTGACAAAAAATAAAGTTTAACATCTGCCAAGATATTTCCCAAAATAAGACCCCTGTCAGATGAACAATGAGGAAAAGACTGAAAATGACTAATTCTTTTATTTGGACCATCAGCTACTTTTAAAAATAAAGTTGAGGAATGTAGCTTTTCCAGAGCCCTGTCTTTAGTTTCCCCTTAATCTTCATATTTTTAACAACAACAACAACCAAAAAAAAAAAAAAAAAAAAACCCTAGAAATTTGATTACCACTCTCATGAATTCCTTTTAAAGCAATTTAATGAATAACAGATCTTTTGTGCAAGTAGCAAACCACAGAGGACAGTTTTGCTGGCTGATAAAATCTCGCTGAAACATGCATATAAAAATATACCCTTCAAAGACAAACTGTGATTTTCCAGGTATGGAAATCATATTAACACTTAAAAAGTTGGGTATGTTTGACATATACCCTAGCTTACTCTGAATGTTTTTACTTGAACCACAACTGAAGTTAGCATATTCTTATTAATTATTAACTAGGTATCAAAGTTGAATACAAGGCCACGAGTAAAAAAAAAAAAAATTTTTTTTAAGAGTAAAACCTAATGAGCCAATGGGAAAATGATACAACTTCTTTGGGTGAAACAAAGTTGTGGAAATCACTTCCCAAAACTCGTGCACTTCTATTCAAGTAACCAAAATTTGCTTAGAAAAAAAATTTTTGACGGTAGAGATAGGTGCGGTTACACACTAAGTAAAAATGTTTCACCACTCACTCTAATAGAAAGACGTTGCTGCCTGCAGGAATGTTGAGACTGCTCAAAAATACAAAACAAAAACAAAAACCCTACCACAAATGTTTTCCAGAATACGCAGAGCCAAATACTTAAATACACGGAAAGATCGTCTTAGCAAAAAGAACTGTGGGTTGCTACAGCATTCCTATTGTCCTAAATACCACTCAGAATAAACTGTGCGCGCGCGCGTGTGTGTGTGTGTGTGTGTGAGTGATGGGGAGCGCTCTTCCCAAAAGCTAGCTTAGATATGAAACAGTGCATACACTCATTCAGATACACTCATCTTGGATACACTGAAAGATAAAGCTGTCTCGCATAGTGCTAAGGCCACGTTTCTTTACAGGTGCTATTAAACACTGTCAAGAGAAAAGAGATAAACAATCTGATAACTTCCGAGGGGCACGTGGGAAACTAAACAGCGTATGTCGTCATCACCATTAATCAATTTTTCTAACTGATGAAGTAGAAACAAACAACCCTAAGCGGGCAAGTCCTGGAACCACGAGTAGTCTTTCCACCAATGTAAAGGATCCTGAATCGGAGACCGCAGCCAGGAAGCCTGAAAAGCACGTGTCCTACTTTGCGTTTGGGGAACTTCCCAGGAAGCATTTGCTCACAGTAAAACTCCATCACCCTCGGCCTGCATAACTCAGCGAAAGGATAAAAGTACGAGCTGGAGTGGGGAACCTCTGCCCCCCCGGGGCCCCGGGAAGCTCCCTCCGCGGCCCCCCGCCCGCTCACCTCTGCCGCGGGGATGTTGACCACGCCGGTGGAGCGACGCTTCTCGCGCAGCTTTCTCTTCTCGATCTGCCCCTTGCCCTTCCTGGCACTGGGGCCCGAGCTCTTGCCCTTGTCCTGGGCGCCGTCCCGCTCCTCGTCGTCGCCCCGGGCCGGCGGTGCCCCCGAGGCGGAGACCGCGGCCGCGGCGGTGGGAGGCGGCTCGTCCTCGGGCCGCCGGGGGCCGGGGGCGGAGCGGGGCAACGCCGC